ACCAAACTAAAATCAAAATCCCATCAAAATCGTGCATCAACAACCTTTGGCTACATTCTATAAACTTACCTCACTCAAATTTGTTTTACAATTTCTTCAAAAATTAAGTTTGTTGAAGTTTGATCGATAGCTTCCTCATTACCAATGTAAAAACCCAAACGATCCTAACTTGGGGTTTTTTCCTTTTCATTTCAAACCCTTGATTGCCACTGTCAGGAATCCTAGTTCGTATTCCCCTTTCCTCCAAAATCGAATGTTGTTATAGGTTAATAATCTTGAATGTTAGGAAGTTTCAGTAAATTGTGACCATTTCTTGAAGTTACGGTGAGGTGGTGATTGATTAAGATTGTTAAAAGTTGATTTACATGAATAACAAAGCTTCGATGATACTGTACAAGGTTGACATGGCGTCTTTCATGATCCACCTGTATTTTCACAATTGTTTATGAGATCTTGATTTTGGTCCGATAAACATGAGCCTCCAACCATCAATTCATCATTATTGTAACTTGTATCAGATGTTATGAGTTTGTTTGGGTTATTGTGTGCGATTTTCGGTGATATGTTCATACTCTAAAATAAGTTTGCAAATCCAACCATTCGCCGCCTCTTTCTACTCTGAATCTTTATATCGTTTTTTTTTTTATCAAACTAGATATGTTCACAAATTTCAATCGATGGGATTCATGGAACCACTGAAACATGAGCGAATTTCAAATTATCAAAATACCTTATAGTCGGAAGCTGATAAATCAATTTTTGATAAATTGAGTACCATTACATGAACCCACTAATCTCTCATTTGCCTCAAAACGTCCTAATCTATACGGCAGTCTCGCTTGGCATCCCGATAAAGGAAGAAGATGGTTTAAACGACAGTGAATTAGATGGAAGGCATTGGCGATTAGGGGAGTCCCTGGAAGGAGAAGGTCTAACCTAGGGAAGATTTGGAGTCTATCATCGTCACAACCTCAATCATCATCTTGGATTCATTGCCTTCATTTTCAATCTTCATCATTGCCAAAGAATATTCAAGCATATTATGGCTGCAATCAAGGTAAAATCTATAGCATAAACATATATATATATATATATATATATATATATATATATATATATATATATATATATATATATATACTAGCCGTTACCCGCGCACAGCGGCGGGGACAAATAGCTTCTTTCAACGATATTTTTTTAAAGAAAAATATTATGTTCCAAAAGAAAGTTCATGTCGTAGGTGAGAGGAAGGACGGTAGTCGTGATAGTGGTTGGTTGAAGGCGGAAGGAGGCAGAGCGGCTGTGGTGGTGGTGGTTATACTGTCTTGGTTACTGGTTAGGATTCTTCGAGAGAGTGTGCGTATATTTCTTACTTTGAAGGGATTACGAAGATAGATATTATGAGATGGCTTGTTACCAATGTGAGAGAAGAGATCCTCTATAAATTGTTGACATTGACCGCTTCAAATAACTGAAGTGTTGAGATTGACGGGTTCAATTTGCAAATGAATTCTTCTATTAATTTGATACGAGATTTTTAGGGATAAAGGATAGGGTTAAAGTTTTAATATTATTATATTATAAATGGGTTGTACTTCAAGCTTAATAGTTTGGACGTCTTAAAAAAATAATATTATTATATTCAATCTATTTATAGAAATAGTTAGATTTCTTTTATAAGTAGTAAAGATATATATATATATATATATATATATATATATATATATATATATATATATATATATATACAGTGTTGTAAAACTCGCCGAGTTGGCCGATTACTCCTTCGAGTACTCGCTACTCGGCCCCTTACCGAGGCGAGTTACAAAATCCCGAGTACTCCCCAATCGGCCTATTTACTAAACTGAGTAGTTTTATAAAACATGGTCAACTCGGTGATTAATATGTATAATATACTTAATGATTTATTATTTAACACATACATATGATTATTACTACATATATATCTTAAATTTTCAGTAATTATTCGCGAAGTAAGACCATTATGTGATTTTTCAGCTTTTGTGTATTCACATGTATCTAATTTTGTTATATATTTCAATCAACTTATGATTTTAACTTATGATTTTAACATATATAATTTCCCTAAAAATATTTCTACATGAATTACCGAATCCGAGTACTCCCCGAGTACTCCCGGGTACTCGCTACTCGGTAGTCGGCCGAACAGGTACCGAGTAACGAGTTCTGCAACCTTGTATATATATATATATATAGAAGTAAGTTCATGCGAAAATATAAATATCCTGCGAAAACGCGAAAACAGATTTTATCTTATGAAAATTAAACACATGTACTATAAAAAAATAATTTTATTAGCAATAAATTAAAGATAGTAAGTTTGAATTGGATGGTGTTATGGTAATATAGATTTAAAGACGGTTTTTATAATTATATTTTTTTCACGTCTTTAATCATTTTTAAATTCATGTTTTCATAATAAAAATGTTAAAAATCATACTTTGCTAATATGAAACAGTTTATCATCTATCATCGATTATCATCATGTATTTCAAAGTTTGGATGAATTATTTTCCAAAATATAATGTTGAGGTGATATATATATATATATATATATATATATATATATATATATATATATATATATATATATAGATGTCTTGTGAAGGCAAGTAGGGTGCCAAGTGTTTCTTCACACAAATGGAGCCCATTTTGGGCCTACCACCACCATGTGGAATGCAAAATGTCTTGTGAAGGTTTAGATGACAAACATCAACACCAATCCACCCTGGACTTGTTAAACCAACCTGTAAAACATCAAAACCAAATATATTTTTTTATATTTTTTCATTTATTTATATGATGTTTTAATTAAATTAAAACGACACAAGAATGTAATTTTTATATACCTGTGTATTTATGTATGATTTGAGAGAAGCAGAAGCATATTTGACAATAATTTTAAGAGCACACATAAAGAGACCTATGGTGTAAATTTGCAAACAAAAAATTGTCTGGTTTCAAATCTCCATGAATCATTTGATGCTTATAACATCCCGGTCATATTTAAAATCCTAAAAAAACCAGAACATGAAATTTCCAACAAATATTTATACTTACATCTAATGAATTCAACTTAGGATTAAGAAAATACCTTCAGAGAACCTCTATAATACATGAATGTTGAAGAGGACGATGATTTTTTTCAGTAATGTGGCTTTTATCTTCGATTCTTTCTGTATGAAAGAAAGTTTCACAAATATTTTAGATATTAAACATAATCAGATGATGTGTGACTAATAATTACCTTATAGCAGGTTGGTTTAGCATCAGAGAGGACATCCATATGGGTTTTCTCTGGCTATTTTGATGTAACCATATGATTAGTTGGACCATCATTTGTAATAATTGGTGGTTGCTAGGAGCAAATGAAAAGGAACACGCAAGGAACCTGATTAAATAGAAAAGGAATTAGGTCATCTCACTCCTTCCCAATCACACAAAACTACAAACACGCACAAGAAAACACATTAAGCCTGATAATATAAGAAATTGGTGATCAAATTCCGGAAACAAAGCCGATTCCGATCCCGATTAAAGGTGATGCCTCCTTCAAAGACCGATCGTTGTCGAGATAGAGAACAAAGCAGAAAAGCAGTGTGTATTTGTAGGCCCATAACGGATTCGAAAATTAACTAAAATATGATTGTGGATGGACAAAGAGAAAAGGTGTTCTAGAAATCGATGGAAGAAATGGTGCAGGAAAATGGTGGATAGAAAACCCTATAATTCAACGACGTTTGTGAATGCCCAAAGCTTCATCATAAACATGAGGATCATGATTGGTGAAATCAATCCATTGAGGAGCGTTAATGTCTGCACCTTTTCGAACACAGCTACATCCATTAATGGATTGGAGATAGAAAGGGAAAAAGTAGAAGAAAATGACTTCATGTTGATATAAGCTCTTCGCTGCTAACTATGTGGAGAGGAAAACCTAGGAAGGAATGAAACGCAAGAACAACGCTACAATGCAATGAGTATGCGTATTTTGGTGTAAGATGATGTCATCAAAACGATTCTGAGGTGGAGAGCTAAAAGTGAAATGCAATCAAGGGCCCTTTTTTCTTCAATTTAGAATTTAAAGTTCTCTTTTAATAATATTTAGAAATTTGTTTTTTGTTTTATAATAACTAATAGAAAACATCATAAATAGTCCCTAGGGTAATGAAATGACGAAAATGTCATTCACTTAATGGTAGGAAGCTGACGGAGTGAGGCATAAAGACCAAATATCAAAAGTTTTGAAACCACATTGACCATCTACGAAGTTTTTTAAACTTATGAACTAAAGTTCAGATTTTCAAATACCATAGGGACCATTTATGAAGTTGTCTTATTTTTATCTGATAGTTATAATTTAAAATGTAATATTTAATATTTGTAATGTCTTGTTATATATATTAAGTTATATTAATTAATCATAAATGAAAAGTTTAATATTTATGTATCAAATTCATAAAAAAAAAACATAAATACATATTAAAAAACTTAAAAGATGATAACATTTTTTTTCTATAAAAACATATAATTGAAATATATTTTACAAATACGAAAACATATATTATTGTAATGAAAAAAAGATGCAATATGGATTTGTTAAAAGCTAATTAATTAAAGTATGTGTTTGACAATCTATTTAAATTACAAAAATGAGATATTCTAAAATATATTTTTTTTTTGGGATAAAAAATAAAATAAAAAGTAGAATAAGATTGAAGATGAAATACTATCTACCTAATTTTTTTACTTTATTTTTTGGAAAATAAATGGAGGTCTAAAATTAAAGGACCTAGAACAACATCATCATTTCCGTTTTTGGTGTTTTCCTAAGAGTTTCTATGAAATTGATTCTAGATCTGAAAAGCTACATGCAAACGAAGAACAACAATATCATCTAGATGAAAATCAAAATCCAATATAGAAATACTGACGTATGAAACGAAAATAAAAATTAAATGATTCATGAGGTCTTTGAAACGATTTTCGGACATGATGTGAGTATCATAGGAAGGGTCCCAATTCATGGGATTTATAAAACAGTTAACAATGGTGGCGGTGGTGATGAAAGGAGATTTCGAACAAGTGTGCTTCATCAGAAGGGTCGTCGATGGTGATATTAAGCGATGACAAGATCATGTAGTGGGGGACAATGCAACCAGTCATAAGTTTCACGGGGTTTATACGAGGTGATTTGGTGGGATTGGAGAGAGTCTTCATGGTTTCCGTCTTCAAATTTGGACGGGATGAAAAGAGATTTCCGATGATGGTCTGATATCCAACAAGCATTGATGGGGCAACGATGAAGTTTTTAAGTGGCGAAAGTCGTCAATGGTGACATATTTGGTGCACCTATAATTATTAAAGCAGAGAAAAAAATATCAGAAATGGATAACGGGTAGGACTAAAATTAAATATTTTTTTCACTTAATTATGTGTTTTATTGAAACTTTAAAACCAGAAATTAGAAAGGTTAAAAAAGAAAAAGAGGGTATAACAGTAAATTCAAATATGTTAGAGGCTAAGTGCTAAATAAAATCAAACAGAATCCAAATTTAAAAATAAAAAAAAATAAATAAAAAAAAAAAGGTTAGAACCAACTTACAAATTATCCTAAACTACAAACTACAAGGAGCATGGTGTAATTTACTTTTATATTTATTTATCTTTTTTTTTAATTTTTTTTAGTTAAATCCAAAATTTTGACTTTTTTTTTTTTTTTTTTTTTTTTTTTTTTTTTTTTTTTTCTTTCTCAAGCACATCGATCGGAAATGCATATGGGCGGAAGTGGTTGCAAAAATTAAACCCATTCCCGAGTGGGCAAAACAGAACACGGTCACTACCTGCTCTATTGGTGATGATGAAGACGATTGCTATTGCCCCTTCCAAATTGAGCAAGTGTCTTCATTTCCGCTGTGCATTTTACTCGAGTCGTCCTGAATCTCCCAGAAATCTTGAAGGATGTTCAAAAAAGTATAATTCCCATTCAGGCGACCTAGCTCTAGGTGATGCACTGCCGATGTTTGATAAAATGCTTCAAAGACGACCTCTTCCCTCAATTGAAAACTTTACCAAATTAATATCCACTGTCGTCAAATTCAAGCGATATTCTACTGCTATGTCTATGATACATCGATTAGGCCTGTTAGGTCTCAACCCTTTGGTGAAGCCTGATATATATACGTTCCACATCGCAATAAACTGTTTTTGCCATTCAAATCGAGTGCGTTTCGGGTTTTCAGTTTTAGGGAATGTTATGAAGCTGGGTTACGAACCAAACTGCCCAATTTTCAATACATTGATCCGGGGTCTATGCAATAATGGTAAACTCTATCAAGCAGTCAGCTTTTTTGACCAAATCGTAAAGAATGGGTTTGAACCTAATGTGGTTACTTATAACACGTTAATTAATGGGCTTTGTAAACTGGGAAACACTTCTTCTGCCATCATCTTGCTCAAGAAGATGGAAAGATCTAGGGTTTGTAAGCCTGACATTGTTGCATACAGTACAATCATAGATAGTCTTTGCAAGGATGAACAGGTAACCGATGCATTAAAACTCTTCTATAAGATGATTGAAAGAGGAATAACACCCAATGTCATAACTTATAATTGTTTGATTCAAGGCGTGTGTAACTCTGAATTATGGGACAAAGCCAAAAGACTTTTAGAGGAGATGTTTGCTCAAAATATCCAACGCGATGTACAAACATTTAACATCTTAGTTGATGCACTATGTAAAGAAGGGAAAGCAACAGAAGCACACAATCTGTTTGCATCCATTATTAAAGAAGGTGAATCACCTGATACTGTAACTTACAATTCATTAATGGATGGGTATTGTTTGGTTGACAGGGTAGATGATGCAAGAAATTTAGTAGATCACATGATGATACATAATTGTGCACCTTGTGTTATAAGTTATAACACTTTAATTAATGGGTACTGTAAAAGTAAAAGACTTGATGAAGCATTGAGTCTCTTTAAGGAAATGTCAAGAAATGGGATTCATCCTAATGTTGTAACGTATAGTACTCTTATCAGTGGTTTGTGTCATGATGGGAGACTCAAGGATGCAATGATACTTTTTGATGAGATGAAAACTTGTGGTTTGAAAGCGAATATTGTTACTTATAGCACATTGGTGGATTCTTTTTGTAAACATAAGAGAGTAAAAGAGGCATTAGAGATGTTTGCAAAGATTGATGATGTTGGGTTGATTCCTAATATTGTCACTTGTAATTGCCTAATAGATGGTTTGTGTAAAGATGGGAAACTTGATGCAGCAAATAAATTGTTTTCAGAACTTTCTGCTAGAGGGTTGAAACCTAATGTTAGGACATATAATATTATGATGAATGGGTTTTGTAAAAGGGGTAAACTTGATGAAGCAGATGAGTTACTTTTAAAGATGATTGATAGTGGTTGTTTTCCAGATGGTTTTACTTATAATATAATAGTTCAGGGATTTATAATGCACAAAGAAATGGTGAAGGCGATTTCAATGCTTGAAAGAATGCGTGATTGTGGTTTTGCAGCAAATGCGTATACATCGACTTTGATGGTTGAATTGTTGACTACACATAGGCTAGAATTAGATGATTCATGTAAGAAAGCTCTTGAGATTTTCTTTAAAAAAAATTGAGTATAGTTAAACAGGTGTGTAAAAGAGGGTAAACCATACAAATGTGACTAATTTAATGAGCCTCCATTCACTTTTCTGGTTGAAGGATTTGAAGACAGTGGAAGGCTATTACTTTGTGTGTTGTTTCTTTTTTTTACACTTTTGACTTTGATCACCGCAAATAGTTATATTTTAAAAAATGTTTGGATTAGTTTTGTGGTGGCAAAAAACTTTATAATTGTAAAATGACTAAAAAGGGCATGAAAAGAGAGGAGGGAAGAAAAAGAAAGTAAGTTCATTACAGTTAACAATAAATAGTTTAAAACAAAAAAACACATATCTAATACATCATTTAATGATAATTAATTCAAAATTGGTAATTTTTACATAATTAGTTCGATATAAAATATTAGATTTTTTCTTTTAAAAAATAGTAACGATTTTACGATCCGATCCTACGATTCTACCATGATTTTATCAAAAAGCAATTTAAATAAGATCCGAACAGATTTACTTAGGATACGATCCTACGAACAGAATCACGCTCATAATATATATTTTCTAGAGGGGATTCTCATTGTATATGTATTACGTGGTCACTTAAAGGTAGTCAAAAAGTCATATTAAAAAAAGATAGTTTTGTAAAACATAAAAATGTTAAAAAGGAATTAAGGAAAGAGATCGCTGTCATCTTTAAGTTTGATAGTAGCTCTAAGTTATTTTACTTTCCCATGTGAGTAGTAACAGCTCCATGCAGGCAGGAAAACCTTATTTTAATTTTTAAATCTTAAATAAATAAATCAGGGACGTGTTTGGCAAACTAGCTAATAGTCGGTAGTTTGGTAGAAAAAAAAATGGTTGTTTAAAGTTGAAAGGTGTCACTTTTATTTGTGTATAATAAGTATTCGAAAAAAATAGTTGTTAACTTTTAATTGTGAAACTATATAAAAACTAAAAACTAAAGATTTCAAAAAATATTTGAATTAGCTTTTAAATTAAAAGTTTTTTTTTTTGCTGTTTAAAATAAAAACTAAAAGCAAATGAATTTTTTTCATTTCTTCCAAGCTTTTTTCTTAAAAACTAAGATTTTAAAAACATCATATCAAACACGTCCTAAAGTACAAATTTTGTACCATATATTAAAATTATGGTTTTTAATAATTATTTGTAATAGCTGAAAATAATATTGTAAAACAATAAACCAATTTTTCTGGATTTTTCTTTTTTACTTTCCAAACCCTTTATCCCTTTCAATGTTGATTTACAATCACAACCACACATTTATCCATGTTGCAAACGACACCAACTCCTAGTACAACTGATATCAATTTACTTGTATGAATGACCCCATTACACATCGACCTATAATACACCATATTAAGCTCAAAAAAAAAAAAAAAAACAGACAGAATCAAAATGGCAATTCCTTCCGTTATGCTAAACTTCTTGTTTCCACCACCACCCTCGTTGTTTGTCTCCACCATGTCGGTCATCGGCCTTACGTCGTTATCGAGTTCAGGGTACATGGAGATCAAAGGCAAGCATATGCAATATTCCAAATTCTTGAACGTAGGCGTTGTAAAGAAAGAGGATAATACAAAGTTATCAAGTAGAAACGGTATGCTTTTTTCGTATACACCCGCGTTTCTCGTGGGCTTGGCTTCTTTACTGGTGTTTCACGATCAAGATCTTAGATTCATGTTGCTTGCTTCGGCTCTCACCGCTCATTTCCTCAAAAGGGTACTTGAGGTACATCCAATACTCGACTACTAAAATATGTTGTGTTATAATTTGTTTAACAATACTTAATTAGATGGTGGTATCTTTGAGGATACAATCATTGGTTTGGGCCTCAACAATGCTAGAGTTTTAGTTTCAATGTGGATTGAGCTCATTGTGGACACTGATAGACATCTAACATGTCAACATTTCAAATCACATGATGCGTTTTTGTTTGTGACGATGAATAATCATTTTACAGAAATATTATTTGTTTGGATCTAGATTTAGTTGAAACTTTAATGGACTAAACATCCTTGGTTTTGACTGTATTTCTGATGTAGGTACTTTTTCTTCACAAGTATAGTGGTTCCATGTTATTAGAATCGGCAATAATCATCTCATTGAGTTATACCTTTTCCACAGCGACAATGATTTATACTCAATATCTATCCAAAGACTTTCCCGAGCCTTTGGTAGATCTAAAATACGTTGGAATTGGGTTTTTTGTAGTCGGAATAATTGGAAACTTCTACCACCATTATCTTCTAGCTAATCTGAGGAAGAATGGGGAAAAAGAGTACAAAATCCCACAAGGAGGTTTGTTTGATTTGGTCATATGCCCACACTATCTATTCGAAATTCTTGGATATGTAGGGATTTCGTGCATTTCACAAACGTTGTATGCGTTTGCTTTCACTTTGGGCACAATTGTATACTTGACAGGGAGGAGTTATGCCACTCGGGAATGGTATGTATCAAAGTTCGGAGACAAGTTCCCTAAGAATGTTAAGGCTTTTATTCCTTACATTTTTTAGGCAATTACCTACCAGAAGAATATAAGATCGGTTTTGCATATTGGGGCGACATGTTTATTTCTATAAACCTTAGGTCCATTATTACTATTATTATTATTAGTCCTCTATGGATTAATTAGTGAATTGATAAATGATGTTTGTAACTAAAAAATATTGTATAAAAATGATTTTTTTTTAAGAGAAATTAAATAGCTTTTTACTTTTTTTTTTCCTACTATTCTTCTACTTATTTTAGATGTGATAAGTGTCATTAAATTTAATTTAAATTTGATTGAAATTTTAAATTTGTACACTTGTCATCATCTTAAATGGATAGGAAGAAAAATATGAATAAAAGGTAGGAGGATATTTAATTTCTCTTTTTTTAATTAAAAAAAAAAACTGAAATACCTTTCTGAATTCAAGTAGATGACATATTTAACCTTCTCTCCATCAAATTCAATTTTACCACCATAAATCTATTAATCGACATAAATGTAAGTATATTCACCAAAAATCACCTAACATAAACACAAGACAAGCCGGAACTATTTTAGATGGAAACATGATTATAAACCACTCTTGTTGTCTTCTTCCTTTTTGTATCCTATGATCAGAATTTTGTCCCTTCATAACTCTAACAATTTTTTTTTCTCTTTCAATTTCTCCCGATTCTTGTTTCTCATCCTTGAGTTCATGATGCCGTTCAAGATATGAAGATCAATTTGTACCAGATTTGTTTAAAACCAATCACTTTTACGAACCCCAGGTCTCCAGCATCTTTGTTTCTAATATCTCCTGCTTACATAATATGATGTCAAACAATTACACCAAATCAATTCTTTTCAAAAACCAATTCTCCAGGGAAGAAGAAACGTCAGGGAAGCATCTCAGGAGAAGTAATTAAACATTTAAATTAAAAAAAAAAAAAAAAAAACAAAACAGAGTTGGTCCCTGTCTTACCTAAAAAGATTATTATTTAAATAAGGAAAAATAGTGGGGTATGTATGATAAGGTGAGGGGGTTGGGGTTGAGGTGTGTTTATTTAAATAAATTAAAAAGTCAAGTGAAAAAATAGTTTTTTTAGATAACACAGGAATCAAGTGCGTAAAAAAACAAATAGTAGGAACCTTCCGATTTGAAAAAATAAGTTATGAAACAAACACGCAAATTACTTTAAACCATAGGGATCATTCGCGTAATTTACTCAATTTAAAATGATACATAAGTAATCATAGACAAAAGGACAAATTGCAAATTTGGTCCCTGTGGTATGTCAAAACTAGCATGTTTGGTCCAAAATGGGTTTGGCTTGCAAAGATGGTCCAATAGTTTCTATTTGTTGCGAGTTTAGTCCAATGGCTTAACAGCCGTTACCAAGCTCCCGTTAATTTACCCATGCCCCTCTCACTTAAGGGTATTTTAGTCCATTCATCTAGCCCCTTTATTATTTTATTATTATTTAGTCCATAAAGAGACTACAACGTATCTATTCTCGTCTCCAGCAACAAGCCCTAACTGTCACTCCCTCTCTGATTTCATCTTCTCCATCGATCACCCCCCTGTGATTTCATCTTCTCCATCGACAATGGTGATGTGCGTCTGCAGAAAGTGGGCGATAGTTCGGACATCGTGGACAGATAACAACCCAGGGCGCCGATTTTGGGGATGTCCTGACCCAGCAAGTGTGTTAAACTTTATTTTGAATACTACTCCCTGATGATCTAATGTTTCTTTCTTCTTTTTTTCAAGAATTCATCATGTGGGTTTATTGGGTGGTATGATGAACCCATGTGTGCTCGTTCCAAAGTTATAATACCAGGGCTGCTTAGGACAATCAATAAGCTACGAAAAGCAATGGATGATACAAAAGAACAAGCAAGCAAGCATGAAAAAGCAATGGAGAAGATCAAAGAACAAGCAACTATGTTGAAGTATTACCTAGTCTATAGTTGGATTTTTTTTGTTGTTGTGTTGGTGTTCTTGTTGTAAGTCCACAGGTTGATTGTGGTTATCTTTTGTAATAGGATAGGGGTATATGTATCTGGTTTAAGTTTTTTTTGCTAATGTGGAACATTGTAATGCAAAGTAATGGTTAATGAAAATTTGGTATCTATTGACCAATTATGGATTTGTTCTATTGTTCATACATAACCTTCTAAAGATAACATATAATGCATCCATATGTATTTAACACAAAAGCATACTAAAGACATAATACCTATTACCATCTTCAAAATACATGTCATAAGTTAATTGAAAACAAAGTTATTGCAACAAACGACATCCTGCATCTAGGAATCAAACCAAAGTTGTTCAATACAGTCAAACCAAAAGATAAAACCAACATAGACCATCAAGTCCCTCCCTGACCTTTGCATGTCCTGGAGTTGTGCCCTTTGTTTCCACACTTACTACAAGTCACACTAACAAACTTTCTTGTTAGTTTCCCACCACCATGTGGACCATGACCATGAATCTCACTGGGACCAACATCTGACCTTTGACTCTGACTTTGACTCTTGCTTTGACTTTTCTCCTCCATGGATTGCCTTCTCTTCCTCTTGGGTCTCCCAGGTTGATTACGGTGTGGGGGAGGTGTGATCTGCATTGGACACTCACTTCTAGGCCACATTGCCCGACCTTTAATTGGTTCCACCTTGTACCCATATGCAGTTTTCCAAGTTTGTAGCCAGTGCACCTTGTGGACATAAGTATGGAGCTCTTGTACACACTCACCATGATCTGCTTTGTTATACAACACATAAATCACATGTCTGCAAGGGATACCTGTTAATTCCCATTTCCTGCAGCTGCATACCCTTTCATGCATATCAACAACATGTTGATCATTCCATGGGCCTTTGACTTGGTATTTTTCATCACCACACCATTCTGCAATGTACTGAGTAGCAGCTGCTTCATTCTTCTCCATGATCTTTGTTGCTGTTGGGGTGAGTGGGCCTAAACACTTTTGCTGCACCCTGAGGACATTGCATATCCTCTTCATCATATATTCCATAATAAACTCCAAACAGCTAATAATTGGTTTGTCTCTCCCATCAACTAGCTTTCCATTAAACACCTCACAAAGGTTGTTTAACAGCATGTCTGTGGTTGCTCTCCCTGTATAGAAAAGGGTAAAAGTGTCATAATGTTATGTGAAGGGTAAAATGGTAAAAGGGTAAAAGTGTCATAATGTTATGTGAAGGGTAAAATGGTAAAAGGGTAAAAGTGTCATAATGTTATGTGAAGGGTAAAATGGTAAAAGGGTAAAAGTGTCATAATGTTATGTGAAGGGTAAAATGGTAAAAGGGTAAAAGTGTCATAATGTTATGTGAAGGGTAAAATGGTAAAAGGGTAAAAGTGTCATAATGTTATGTGAAGGGTAAAATGGTCATAATGTTATGTGAAGGGTAAAATGGTAAAAGGGTAAAAGTGTCATAATGTTATGTGAATGGTAAAATGGTAAAAGGGTAAAAGGGTCATAATAGCTTACCTGTGAAATGGCTTTTTGCCCAATGTTGTGGTGGTATTGACTCCAACCATTCATATGCTGATTTGTCAAATAAACTGAATTGGTGCATGAAATGGTTAAACTCTGGCACTGTTGTAGCTGTGGCACAATCCCAAAGGTGATCTTTATATTCCTTAGTTATCCATTGTTTCTTCATGTTCTCATGTATATGTCTGAGACAGAACCTATGCTCAGCACATGGGAACAATTGACTAACTGCTTGTAGCAAACCCTGGCAACAAATTACACATGATTAACAAAATAAACATTAAAAAAAATAAATAAACAACCATTACCTTTTGTCTGTCACTAACAAAAGTGAAATTAGACATAGCATGTAGATCCAAGTCATCACCAAGACATTCAAGGAACCACTTCCAAGATTCGCAGTTTTCAATCTCTACAATGGCATATGCAAGTGGGTATATGCCATTGTTGGAATCTAATCCAATTGCAGTTAAGATCTGGCCTGGATAAGGGCCTTTCATATGAGCCCCATCTAGCCCCAAGAAATCTCTTAAACAAGCTTTGAATCCCTTCTTCATCCCCCCTAAACAAACATAAATTCTTTTGAAACATCTTGAAGTGCAATTCACCAAATTAGATTCTGAAACATCTCCAAGTTCTAATTTGACTGTGGTATCAGGATTGGTTGACTGCAACTCAAGGATATAGTCTCTCAGAACTTCATAGTGTTTTTTGTAATCACCCACTACAATCTTTTTTGCATCTGCTTTAGCTCTAAAAACTTTATGGATTGAGAAGCCCACTCCATACTTCTTCTGTAATTGTTCTTGGAGAGCTTTAACTGGGATAGTAGGGTTGGATTCTACTTGATCCATGATTTGTTTGGACATAAAATTCGCTGTTGCAGCTCTCACCTTCCTTGTATTCATACAAGTGTGTTTGTCTTCATATGTTTTAATGTACCAGCTGCTTGCATCTGTAGACCTCGAGGCATGTAACATCCAAGGACAAGAAGAATCTGCTTTTTCCTGACTTGTACCACCTTGTTTGTCCTTTTCTTTACTTTTCCCTTTACTTTTCCCTTTAATTTTCCCTTTACTTTTTTCAGCTTGGGTAGGTCCACCAACTCCATCATTAGTAAATGCCACAACTCCATTACATATGGCCCTCAATCTGGATTTGTCATTTTTTTTAAATGCAATATTCTTTTTTGTTTCCAATGCATGCATTTTGATTTTCTCTTTCAACTCCTGCTTACTGTTATACTTTTGACCTATTTTAAAATTACACTTATGAACCTCACCTAAAGAACAACTTTTTTCCTTACTTAGTTGTTTCAAAACTGCTCTTCTCTTCCTGTCCTGGTCAGAATCCTCATCCATGGAATCAAAAGCATCATTGTCAATGACATCTAACTCATCTGCTTCTTCATCACTCTCATGTTGTCTAGGATTCCTATTATATCCAAGTGATAAGGATACGACTTGAACTATTTCATTAACTTGGATTTCAGGTTGGTTTGCTTGAGTGGGCACCA